CCCCACTTCCTTCGCTCTCGCTGTCCTCGCCCCTTTCCTCGCGTCCCGTCTCCCGCCCCGCCAGCCTGCTGGGAGTTGGAGTCCTGCTCCCGGCCCAGGTGGGCGGCGCACCAGTGGTCCGGAGGCCCAGAAACTACATTTCCCAGAAACCCATGCTCTCGCTTGCGTCACTCGGCAGGCGCGGAGGCGATGCATGAAGTCCTACACTGAGCATGCGCATCCCCCCCAACTTCTTTGCCACGCCCCCTCCCTCCAAGGCTTTGGAGGAGGGTATGCCGAGGAGCTCTCAGCTCGGAGGTTGGGGTCCCCCTACCCCCTTGCTGCGGAGGTAGCCCCGCCCTGGCGAAGGCCTAAGGAGCTAGAAGAGCCCGCAGTTTTCAGTCGCGCAGACGCTGCCTGCTGTGCGAAGCCGGGGTCCTACGGGCCCCCCACGCGGCCCGACACCGCGAGTCTGTGGTGAACCCTCTAGTCAGTGTCAGTCGGGGTGCAGCGCCGACCGGCCCTGCCGGCCCAGGACCCTCAGGCCCCTTCAGAGGCCTGGGAGGGGGCCGAGAACCCCCGAGGGGCACCGCGTCAAAGAAGCCGTTTGCCTCGGTGTTTGCGGGCTGGGCGGTGTCATCGCCGAGCCAGCTGGAGCCTTGGGTGGGGCTCCGTACCTGGAGGTGCTGTTTGCTAATTGGGGTTTGTGGCAGCCACCTCCCCCCCGCCCCCAATCCATTCCTGAGGGTCCGAGGCAGGAGGAGTGGGGAGGATGCCACCTGCCTCAGTTCCGGAGACGCTGCTCCAAGTGGGGAATCCCAGTGGGAACCCGATGGGATGTCAGGCTCTGACCAGTGGGATTCCCGCTCTTTTCCCAAAAGACATGAATTCCATAGCCTGGCATGCCCCACCCCTTCCCGGGGCACTGTCTGCAGGGCGCTCAACGCCTGTGCTAGGCCCACGCAGCCTTGGATCGCCAGCACCGCCCATTTCAGGATGTGTCAGATACACTCACAAATGCCCAGGAGTCAAGGCTTAGCCAAGCGCCACAAAGACAAAAAAATAACAGTAGGATCCTTGACTGCTGGCCACCAAGCCAACTTTTTATTGACGTATAACACGGGTACAGGAAAGTGCACGAATGCAACGTGCACAGCTGGAAGGATTTTCACAAACTGGCCAGTCGGTGCCAGGAAGGGGGTGCACCCCGGAGGGAATGTGGGCAACCACAAGTGCGGGGACACTGCATCCCACTCAGTGGACTTGCAAGGGGTGATTCCGTCCTACGGAAGGGGGGTCAGATGCTGGACAGCCAAACTGGGAACACAATGACAGCTGCCCACCACAGGCACGCCCCATGCCTTCCTCTCTGAAATAAACAAAAATGTATTTTAAGAAAATAACATGAAAACGGAAAGAAAAAGTGAAATCTTTACAATCATGAAACCCAAGGGACAGACGAGACCAGCCCCCCGAGGGTGGCTGAGCAGGGACGGGCAGGGCGGGGAGGGGGCTCCCTAAAGCTACAGGCATGTGGGTTCCCGTGGGGCGGTCCGGAAAAGGAGGTGCTGCATGGCCAAGGGCGTCAGAGGATGGTGCAGAAGAACTTCTTCTCCCGGAACGGGTTTTCGGACGCCGGCACGGGGATGATGAGCGGGTCCTCCCGGAGGTGGGCCTCACAGTAGGCCAGCAGGTCCGCTGCGGCCTGGGACACCTGCGGGGACACAGCACGGGCGCAGGGTGAGGGGCCAGTTCCCAGTGTGCCTGTGGAGAGTGGGCCCGCCGAGGACAGCCAGCGGTGAGGCCAAGCTCGGCCTGGGGAGAGGCTGGGTGCAAACCCAAGGAGACGGGTGGACATCTGCCTCCCACGAGAGAGACGCTGCTCAAGTCCCACCACCTGGCAGAACGGGAGGCAGCAGAAGGGTCCCCGCTTCCCCTGTTTTTAAATATATTTTTATTGATTTCAGAGGAAAGGAGAGGGAGAGAAACATCGATGATGAGAGAGAAGCATGGATCGGCTGCCTCCTGCATGCCCCACACTGAGGATCAAGCCCACAACCGGCCATGTGCCCTGACCTGGAATCGAACCTGAGACCCTTCAGTCCACAGGCTGATGCTCTATCCACTGAGCCAAACCGGCTAGGGCGCAAGTGCCCAGTTTAAAAGACACGAACCGGGGCGGGGCTGGGAACGGCAGAGGCCACAGGCCTGGAGGGGTTGGGAAGGGGGGGCAGGTTCCCTGTTCATGCCAATCCGCTGCCCGCCGGACGTTTTCCTTATGATCCGGCGGCACAAGACCTCCACCTTCACAGACGCCAAGGAGTCGAGCACCGTGTTGGAGCTGAAACGCATCGTCGAGGGCATTCGCAGCGGCTGTACAAGGATGACCAGCTTCTGGATGAGCGCAGGACACTGGGTGAGTGTGGCTTCACCAGGCGAACAGCGAGGCCACAGGCCCCAGCCACTGTTGGGGGGCCTTCCGGGAGGGGGAGTACGGGGAGGGGTGATGCGTTAGAAGCTCTGCGCATTGAGCTCTTCTCCAGCCTCCAGAGCTGTCTGAGGTGATGAGGCCACAGGACGCAGGAAGCAGTGCCAGTGAACAGCCGCGCAGTGGGAGGGCCTGGGGCCCGCTCCTCCCACCGGCGGGGGGGGGGGCCTGGGGGCCCCCCCCCCCCAGGCCCCCCCCCCCCCGCAATAAAAGAGAGGTGGGTGTCTGCCTGGTTGCTGCCTCTTTATGCGCACCCTCTCCTGGCTCCGGGCATCATCCTCACGGGGTGGGGCTCGCTCCTTGCAAGACTCCTCCCAGCCTCCCCTTTGGCTTGCCAGGCTGGCCTGCTGGACCACAGGCTGTCTGTGCTCATCAATCCACCTGCAGCCCAGCCTGCCCCTCAGAGGCCGGGGGAGAGAACCGGGAGAACCCAGAGCCCCAGGCTAGTCCGTTCAGCCGGCTCCTGCCTCGGGGTGGGAGGTGTGAGGCTTTGTTCATTCCCCATCAGTAGTCCCCGTTGCCGCTTCCCCTCCGCCTCCACCTCCGCACACTGGCTTCCAGGCAGAGGCCTCTTTCCTGCTCAGAGACCAGAAGCAAAAGTGTAAGCCAGAACCAGCGTGTGGTCCAGAGCGGGCTATGTGGAACCCTGTAGTCGGTCACTAGAAGGGGCAGCTCTCCTCCCTGCCCTTCTCCACCCTCTAATAAACAGTCTGTAGACAAAAAAAGAAAAAAAAGAAAAAGAAAGAAAGAAAAGAAACGAACCGGCAGCCTGGGAACAGCAGTGGGACTTTACCATTTCATTTCAGAGGAAAAGTGGTGATTAAAACAGACCAAGTGAGCACATAACCCCCGTGGCTGCACTGTAATTACAGGCTTCGATGATGGCAGAAGATGTTGCAATTGCTCTAGTCACATTCCAGGACAAGGGGATGGCATAATTACTACTCTGGCCGTGACAGCCCTGCATTCGTTCTTCGAATCCGCTCAGAGCGCCTCACACCTATTGCTCAGCAATCCGGTCTCTCTAACAATAGGACTTGGGATCCATTACAAGCATCTTTGATGTCTCTGCCGGCTCCGCCCGCCACCCCCCAAGAAAACAAAGCAGGATTATAGTGGAGAGCACAGCCAAGTGGCAGCCCCCAAGGTGATGGTGTCTTTGACAAGGTCAAACTCAGTGTTCACTCTGCCCGGCCGGCGTGGCTCAGGGGTTGAGCATCGACCTGTGAACCAGGAGGTCACGGTTCGATTCCTGGCTAGGGCACACAACCGGGTTGCGGGCTCGATCCCCAGTGGGGGGAGTGCAGGAGGCCCCCAACCAATGATTCTCTCATCATTAATGTTTCTCTCTCTCTCCCTCACACCGGCCGCGAGTTTGACATGTTTGCTCTAACCACTGTGCGAACCACCTAGGGCTCAATGCTGAATTTCTTGCTTATTGGCACCACAATGGAGCTAGACAGAGCCCTGAGGACCCAGCGTATACCTGGAGACCCCTCACACCGGGCGTCACCTGACCCCTGACCCCTGACCGTGGTGGACACAGAGGCAATGCTGAAGCAAACTGCTGGCGGGTGTGGGCCGAGGGCAGGGGGGGTGGGAGGCGTTGCTCACCTTCACCCGGTCCATGCAGGCTTCCATCTTGAGCTGCTCCACGGCCTTGCGGGCCTGCGAGATGCTGGTGGTGCTGCTGCTGGACATGCCCTTCTTCCTCCCGCGGCCCTGGAGGCCCTGGAACGGCCGAGAGAGGGGGCAGAGGGCACAGGCGCTGCTTCCCAAGGGCGAGGCGGGGCCTGCTCAGTGCCCGTCCCGTCCTGTCCTGTCCGCCACCTGCCGCTGGCTGCTGTGGGAAGGATATTCTGTCGTGTTTTTGGTGCATTAAAGAAGCTAACTTTCCGTTTCCGGTTCACAAACAGCGACCAAATAATCCCTCTCGCTGAGTGGTACGTCTCTTCCTGCCTGCGTGTGTCCAGAGTGAATGAACTACCCGAGAGACAAGGGAAATCCACAGGACTGGACAGGGGCTCCGCTCAGAAAGGTGCGGGGAGAGCAAACCGGGGGATTTCCAAAAGACGCCGCTTCAAAGTCCCGAGACGAGAAAGGGCAATGGACGGACACGCATGCACTTGAGGCATTCTCCCCTTCCCAAGTAGAACAACGAGACAGGGTATAAAAAGAAAAAAAAGAAAAAAAGGTGATAGTGAGACGTGGCTATAAATAAATGAGATGATGTGTCTTTTGCACGTCAATCTTTTCTCAGCCATTTGGCCACCTTCCTCATAAGGTGTAGTTGTGCGTGTGTGTGTGTGTGTGTGTGTGTGTGTGTGTGAGGCAGCGTTACCCGCAATCACTCCTAAAGACCCACGCAGTCCCCTTGCAAGGAGGCTGAGGGTCGGAGCCGCAAACAGCAAGGCCATTGTCCTAAAAGGTCATTTCAGCCTGATGACCCCACAGCCAGGCTACTCCTTAAACAAGCAAGGCCTGGGGTACACCGTGTATTTCCACCGGACCCGACTATTAAGTGCTGTGTCTACCTTTTCTCGTGGTGGAGAAGTGAGCCAACACACACTTCGGCAATAACCCACAGTTCACAGGGACAGGGTCTGGTTTCTCAGGACTGAAAGGGCCTTTTGAAAAAATATATATTTTTATTGATTTCACAGTGGAAGGGAGAGAGACAGAAACATCAATGATGAGAGAGAATCATTGATCGGCTGCTTCCTGCACGCCCCACAGTGGGGATGGAGCCCGCAACCCGGGACCAGAAATGAACCCTGACCCCCTGGTTGATAGGTCGAGGCTCAACCACTGAGCCACGTGGGCCGGGCTGCGACCAGCCTCTGACAGTCCTGGGAGGAACAAGCCAGCAGAACCGGGATGGGGAGGGGGACCCGGTGGCCACCAATCATGTTACCATTTGGTCAAACTTGGACATGTTGGGACGTCCTAATGCCTTAGTCCAAGGTGCACACGACAAGCAAGTCCTCAATGCAGACCCTTCTCCAGCGGCAACCCTGCCCTCCTCGCCACCCCCACCCCGTTATTATTTCTAAGGTGAATCAGATCCGCGCTCCCCAAAGCCCTCAGAGGAGCGCCCGCATTTCAGCACCAGCATCGGGGACAGACGCCACAGGGAGGGGAGCAACCCTCGCCTGGTCGCCCCTGGAACAGCTTGGAGGCTGGTGTCCCAGGGGATGGCGCTCCCAAAGCATTTTCCCCGCTAACATGGCCAACGGGCCGTCCCCCTGTCCCAGGAGAGCAGCGCCCGCCCAGACCCGCAAGGACATGGGTCCCCGGGAGCCTCGCGGTGCGGTCC